GGAGCGGGCAGTACCCTAGACAGGGCTCACCATGCTGTAATCGTCCCCTAGTTTCAGGCTGCCTGGATCATGAGTGCCCACTATGTTAAGATGGGCCTCAGATCCAAACCCAGGCCCCTGTGTGGCGTCAGTATCACACACTGGCACCTTACCTCCTGTGCCATCCGGTCGGGCTATCACAAGTTCAAATGTGCTTATTTCTATGCACCTACACCCCAACCCCCATGCCACCTTTCATAGATGCATATTCTCTCCAAGACTGAAAAGATTTAGGTAGTTTCTATTACGATATTATTTTCAGAAAAATATTTCTAAAAGATTTAGTAGTCATGGTATTTCAAAAGTAAGGGGAATCATACTGATCAACTTTTCTCTTCTCTGAAATACGAGAAAACTGAAATCCCTTTTAATTTAATATAAACAGTGCTGACATGGTGCCAAACATTTCACCTCTATTATCTTAATTAAATCTTCAAGATAACTCAGTAAGATGTGCATCGCTGCCCTTGCCACCACCATCACCAGCATTGTTCTCATCCAACAATGAAAACTACTGAAACTTAGGGATGCTGAACAACTTGCCCAAGTCCCTAGGTGAATAAGCTGAGACCTGGTACTATTAATACATTTATATTAGATTCACAGCCTACGCCCTTATTTTCTACTTCCCATCACTTGGAATAACAGTAGTGCAAAAAGTGAAGATTAAACAAATCATTATGAAAATGCTGAAGAGGTGATCAATGGACACTTCTTCTAGGAGATTGGCAAGGGGCAGCTGTGCTAGGCCCTCACGAATAGAGGGTGTTGGTGGGCAACAGCCTGGAACCCACAGAGCTACTGAGGTAGAGGGGTGACAGGGAAGGCATTGGGTAAATTGGGAGACAGAGACTACCAGGAGAAAAAGATGGAAAGAGGTGAAGAGTCAACTGTGAAGGGTCCTGAGTGCCCTGTTAAGGAATTTACAGACTGTCTCTTTAGGCAGTGGGAACCCACAGGAGGTTTTCAGAAGCAAAGCTCTTTAAAAACTGTGAACTGAGGACTGGCAGGGAGTATGGTGGTTAAGGCACTGGGATTACCCTCATGGCCAACCATGATTCGAGTCCTGGACCTGAAGGCTTGCTTTTTCGCTTCCCCTTTCTGTCTCTCTCTGGTCATGTTAAAAAATAATAACAAATAGAATTAAATAGATGAATAACTTTAAAAAGAATTGTGAATTGAGTTTTTTTTTTTTTGGAGAAGTTTTCGCTATAGGGCGCGTGCGCTCACTAGACAGAGAGAGACAGAGAGACAGAAAGTGAGAAATCACCCCCCAGGGGAAATGGCCATGCCGCAATCCCTTCTCCTCCATTCTCCTCTCGGGATCTTGGGCATGCACACACACGCGTCCGGCGTGAGTTTAAACCACCGGGTCCAGGACTCGAACTGCAGTCAGCTACATGGGAGTCCAGCGACATAGCCATTACGCTAACTGCTGGTCCCTGAACTGAGTTTTTGAAATATAAATCTCATGGAAGAGATTGAATTAGGGGAAAAGACCCTGGTATGGCAGAGACCAAGTAGAAAGTTGTTGCCCCTCATCAGCTAGCTACTTCACCCTTCACTGCCTACTGTCCTTACAACCGCCTCTTCCCACTGCTAGGTGCTTCAGGGCACCTCCATATCTGTTTCATGATTCTCATGTCCCAACACATTACTTTAATTGCTATGTCTAGGTCAGGTGACAGGGACCTAAACTTAGGCAGTGAGAACAGAGAAAGAGGATAGGTTTAAGGGGCACTTTAAAGAGCTTAGTCACTGCTCAAATGGGGAAGGGCCCAGGCCATAGAGCACATCTGTGCCATAGGAAGGCCCAGGGCTTAGATCCCAGGTGGACCTGAACATTCTGGGTGGGGGGACCCCCTTGATCTTGTATTGCTGGAAGATTGAGGGGAGGGTAGCAAGATCCTGTTGGAATCTATGTCTCCCCCACTCTCACAAAATGAATAAACTTTAAAAGCAATGGAAAGGGGGAACCAGCAGTTAGTGCGATGGCTATGTCGCTGGACTCCCACGTAGTCAACCATGGTTCGCGTCCCGGACCCGGTGGCTTAAAACTCACGCCGGGCATGTGTGTCTGCGTGCCCAAGATCCTGAGAGGAGAATGGAGGAGAAGGGATTGCGGCGTGACCATCCCCCCTGGGGGGTGATTTCTCGCTTTCTGTCTGTCTGGCGAGCGCACGCGCCCTATAGCGAAAATCTCTCAAAAAAAAAAAAGCAATGGAGAGGGAGGTAGGTGAGAAAGAGAAGCAAAGTAGAACTAGACTCTAATAGGGAACTTAGAAGAGGAATGAATAATGAGATGCCGAAAGGAAGGGATGACCAACAATACAAAGAAATGAATGAGAAGGTTTGGCCAATATCTCAATCCAACAAATATTCTTAAGCAGCTACTGGGTGTTGGTGCTGCCATCAGGAGAACAATGAGTAAGATCCAGTTTTTGCCCTCAAGTGTCACCCAGGGGGAGGAAAAGACAAGAAAAACAATAACCAGATGCCAGGCCTAAGTACAGTGTTCCTTTTATCTAGGGGCCTTAATTCGCTACGATCATAAAAAATGTACAGAAGCAACAGGATACATTTAAAGAACCCCAACCTTTTAAATCTATCAGTCTCATCTGCCAAATTATGTTATAGTCGAAGCAGAGTATATAGTAAGTCTTTTCCATTCCTTCTGCACTCAGAGAGCTGATCCCTTATCATTCTGACCTAAGACAAATGTCACTCCCTTACACAGGCCCTCCAGGTAGATCACTGTATCCCAGACATTCTCCACATCACATGATCCTGTTTATTTTTTCTCATTGCATTCCGAATACCTGAAATATTAGTGTTTCCCCCACCAGAATGGAAGCTTCTTTGAAGTACGAACTTAATTAGTTGCTGCCAACCACATAGGAAACCCTAAGAAACACTGAATGCATTGAATTAAAAAAAAAAATCTAACCTTATTACAATTAAGACCTCAAACCAAATTAGGCTGCTTTTCATTTGTTTACAGAAATATTCTGAGAATTGAAGCGACTTTCAGTATTAAAACCTTTTTGAGGATGGAGTGGACCTAAAATCCAGGGGTCTACACCACAGAAGCGCCTAGACTTGATGATTTGCATAGATTTGGGGAGCACCCATTCGGTGTGAGATGTTTGACAATGAGGCCAGTCAGCTACCGAGCTCAGGTTTTATTTCCGTTGTCCTTCTGACGTCAGGAAAAGCACGAGTTGCACAGTTTCTTCTATCAAGGTGACAAATTACAGCTTCGCTGGGCCCTGCATTCTGCAAACCATAAATTTATTTCCTCCTCCCCCTTACATTAAGAACCGTAGAAACCCACTGCAGAGATGTCAAACTCTCCTTCCACATGTAAATACCGTTTCCTAGCAATGTGGTCTTTTTCACTCTTACATCCATCACCATGGATTCGTCTGAGAAAGTACATGATCCTGGCGACAGTGACGTTTCCAGAGGAGAAACAGGGTTGTAAAAACCCGGGGTCTCTGCCGCAGAGCGAGACACAAAGGACTGTCAGTTGTAGCACCACCTTCCCCAGACGGAGGCAGCCTGTGAACGGCACTGGGAACCGCATGACGCGGTTACCGCGAAATTCCTTTTGCCGCCATATGCACTTGCGCCTTCCTGGCCCACAGTTCCGAACAAGCCCAGGGGCCGCGGTCCGCAGGGAAGCCATGGCCAGGCAGCGGGGTAACCGGGTGGCTGCGTAGGGCCCTGACGCTGGGCAAGAAAAGTATTTGAGCGGCGAGGGCGGGGCGCGCACCAGGGTCTAGGCGCGCTTTCCTCCAGGCACCGACCCGCGAGTTTGAAGGCCTTTTGCGGCCCCGTTTAGGGACGCGAGCGAGGTGCTGGGGTGGAGGCTGGAGGTGGGACTGCAGGCGAGCGCAATCCGCTCCCGGGTCCCGTGCGACCCTGGCCTTTTGTTTGCCGGCTCCCGCGGATCCGGCTCTCGGAAAAGCACTGCACCCTTTGCCCCTCTCTTCTTTGCGTAAAGAGTCTCTTGAGAGCGGGAAAGGACCATGAGTCACGACCGACGCCCGTTAGTCATTTCTCCCGCATCCCCCCTGCTCCCCCCGTTACAGAGAGGGGCGGCAAACGTGCTCTGTTCCCTCGTGCCCTGCCCTCCTCACCCCAGCCGCCAGCCAGTCCGGAAGTCCCCGCCGGCTACGCTCCGCACCCCGGGGACATTGCACACTCTCCTCTGGACCCTGCGGACACAGGATGTGCACCCCGGCAAAGGCCCGGGATTCAAACACTCGGATACGCCGTTGCGCCCTCACATCCGTCGCGCTCTGTCCAGACCCGTGTATTCCCTGACTGGTGAAATGTAACCGGATCTAGTGCCACACTCGCCACCATGAAAACAGACCCCAAAAGTAAGCCAGGGCCCACGTAAAGCTGCAGTCAGGGGCCCTTGCACTTCCGCGCGCAGCCGCGGGCGTTGGGAGAACAGGGGACCTGGACTTTTCCTTTCCTAAAAACAAAACCCGCCAGCGCCGGCTGAGTCGCGCTCGCGACGGCACGGGTGACTTCTCGGTCGCCGCCTCCTCTCGCATCTCAAACGTCCCTTCGCTCCCCGCCGCCGCTCCCTCCACCCTCCTGGGAACGTTCAGTGGCCTTACCTCGGGGATAAAGGGAAAGGTGGCAAAAGGAGACGTCTAGGTGTCCGCCCTTCCGGGATTCTTATCCCTGGCCGTTTGATGTCCTTTGTGTCAAGGTCTGGCAGCCTCGGCGGGGGAGAGGTGGCCGAGTCAGCCGGGACTGGGCAGGAGGCGCGGCTGGCTCCGCGGACTTCCGCGGAAGAAGGGCGGAGGTTTCCAGCGACCTTCAGGCGGAGTGGTGTGGCCGCCCCAGCCCGCGCTCGCCTGGCTCTCCTCTTCCTTTCCAGGTCGATTGCATCAGAGCTCCCCCCACCACCCCCACCCACTGCTCGCCAGCCGCGCACTTACGGCCACACGCTCGGGCGCTGAGGGTCTCGAATCGCAGTCATTCTCCTACTGGGGGGCGCGGGGCTCTTCCGCATCCATGGCTCGCGAGGGCGGTGTAACCGGGGAAGTCAGGCCATCCCTCCCGTCCCGCGCACCGTCTCCTCCGCTCCTGCGCGCCCGCTCTTTAACCAAAGCTGCGTGTCACCGAGCCCTGCCCGTCACATGGTGTCACTGCTGGCGGCCGCGCCTCGCTGCCTCGCTCTCGCCGCTCGCTGGAGATGTAGAGACCGCGGCTGGCGGAGCCTGAGCATCGGGGAAGGGGTGAGGGACGGGTGGTGGCGTGTGCATGTGCCGGTGGCTCTGAGGGTGGCACCGGGAGCGGAGGCTGCGCGCTGCCGGGGCACCTGCCCCGCGCCCTCCTGGGGCCCGGCGCCGGGTTCAGAACCCAGCTGCGGCCGGAGCAGTGAATGGGAACCCGCGGGGTGGAAGTGAGGCAGCTGAAGGAGCACCAGCGGGGATCAGGAGGACGATGCGCTTGGCTGGGAGGGCCGGATTTTGGGGTACGCCAGTGCCCAGCAGGGGCCGAAGGAGCGAGGGGAGTTGCATTGTGGGAAGGGCGCCGCCGGGAGGACGGCGCGGAGTGGCGGGTCTGAGCGCGGCCCGGGAGTCGCTGGCAGGGCCTAGAGATGAGAGCAATCCCGGAGCGGTGCGTGTGTTCCGGGACTGCCCGCAAACGGCTCGGGTTGGCGGGAAGGGGACTTAAGTGGCCAGGGGAGCCGGGCGCTTGTGCACTTTGGAAAACCCTTTGTCTCTAACCCGCAGCGGGAGGGGCCTCCGCTCTTCTGATCCAGCACCCGCAGACTCCGCCGACGCTCGCAGAGATCAGAGCTGCGGACCCGTTTTGGGGACAAGGTGTGATGCGACCCGAAGGATTTGCTGAGCTCGGAGTGAGCACCTGCCTGGGCTCGAAGAGGCGGGAGAGGAGATTGCTCTTGCCGCGCTCCGAGACCCACGTGATTTTGCCGGAAAGGCCTGGCGCGTGGGGGTTAAAAGGAACCGGGGCCCTCCGAGTCCGGGGGACGGTTAGGGGCAGGGGAGCTGGAGGGAGGGAGGCAGAGGCAAGTGGACCTGTTTCCCTCTCTCTGCTCACTCTTCGTTCCAAGCACAGCCTCTTTGAACTGGCTGGGCACTTCCTTGCTTGCAGAGGAGTGGTGTCTCCTTAAAATGGCGACAGGAAATCCCACCTGCGCGTCAACCAATTAGGCTGTCATTATAGCGCGAATTCGCCGGCTGGGAACTCGAGCTTTTTATTGACAGCAATGGTTCAGTCTCTGTTCCATCAAAACAGGAAAGGGAAGGTGAATCATAATTGAAATATTTATCTACCTGGAGTGTTTCAAGCAGGCAGGCTGAGTAGTCACACCGTATTGCAATGACTATTGCTTTTTAATAACCGTGGCAAAAGGAAGCGGCAACCACATTTTAAACCCCTCATGACAAATTCGTATTCCCTTCCAATGGCAGTAAGTGGTCTTGACCAGTTCATCAATGGCTTCCTGAGAAGCCTATTTAGAAGGCATGCCCGTGAATAAACCTGAGAAACTAAAGGTTCAGACCCAAGGAAGCTTCAAAAAGGTAGGCAAGTTGGCTCAAACCGACCTGCATTTCCTTTCTCCTCTGCCACCCACTGCTTCTCTCACCTGTGTTCCTTTTGTCCTAGTTCTATTTTCCTAATTTGTTTTTTTTTTTAAAAAAAAAAGAAAGAATACCAGTGTACACATGTACACATCATAGTAATATTCTACAGATCTTCAAAAATTGTGTTCTTTCTACCTGACAGGAAGCTCGTTGAGTCTGAAATTATTCTAAATAGTGTACACCTTCCTGACACAAATCATTCTTACGAATAAGAAAGCTAGAGTAGGTAAAATACATAAACCGTGAGGCACAGCTCCACAAGCCTATTGAGATTTACCTTCTAAATACAGAATGGATATTCCTCAGTGTGTGGAGAGAGTCCAATCTCAAACTTATCTTTTGGTTCCCATTTTTACATACTTGCTTTGCTCATTTCTCTGCACCAAAAACACTGCAGTTATCTACCACTTTTTGAATTGGACTCAGTGGTTATGAATTAAGCTCCTATCCCATGCCAACTACTGTGCTAAGCATTTTGCATTTAAATGTTATCTTATTTAATCCTTTCAACCCTCAATTAGGTATTATCCCCTTTGTGTAAACAAGAAAGCAGGTTCAAAGTGATTAAATTGGCCTCGCTCACAAACAACCATAAGTAATGGAGGGGAGATAATTCTTATTCATGTCTGAATTGAAAGTCCATGCTCAGTCTTAACCACAGTGCTGCAAACCTGTGCAGTCAGACATTCCTGGGCCTGGAGTTTGGAAGGATCTTCACCCCTACTCTGGACTTCAGTTATCAACCTGGAAATGGAGTGAATGTGTTTCGTTTTTGTTTTTGTTTTGTTTTCTTTTGTTTTAGAGATTTTTACTATTGGGCACAGGCACTCGCCAGAGAGACAGAGAGAAACAGAGAGACAGAAAGTGAGAAATCACCCCCTAGGGGGATGGCCATGACACAATCCCTTCTCCTCCATTCCCCTCTCCGGATCTTGGGCACACATGCACATGCACCTGTGAGTTTAAGCCACCAGGTCCAGGACTTGAACCACGGTTGACTACACAGGAGTCCAGCGACATGGCCATTACGCCAACTGCTGGTCCCAAATGGAGTGAATGTCCACATGGAAGGAAGGACTATTGCCTTGTGAGCTGGTATGGGCTGGGCAGAGACTGTGTTCAGGAAGAGCATTGAGGTGACCAGTTTTTCTCTGGGACTGCTTGCAGAAACTTGCTTTTAGCATTCGTTCAGTAGCTCAGCATCTCTACCCAATTGCTGAAGTCTCAAATGAGGGCAAGGGTGGTACCGTGATTTCCCTATTCACCGTGAGTTTACGGAGAGACAAGCATAGGTTAAGCACCTCACAGATGGTCTTTTGTTTAATCCTCACAACATTCCTAACAGGGCAGACCAGCCTAATCCCTGATGCAAAGGTTAGGGAATTTATACCAAGTCTGCACGGCTCTAATTAGTTCATCGAAGTCTTGAATTCAGAGCTGATTCCAAAGCCAGTTCTCTGTGTCTGGCTCTTAAATAGTCCCTGATTCTAGAACCCTCTCCAGAGTGCTAGGAGATGGGAAGGGTCCCAGGCTGCTTTGCAGTAGGATGGCAACCACTCTTCTGATGTCAGAGAGCCCAGGGAGTCCATTTGCTCTGTGATAGGCTTGTGAACTCCAAGAGGATTGTTGTTAGCACCAAATGCTATTGGTGGACTTTTCCCTATTTAGCAGATTTCCCAAAATGGTACTAAGGTAATCAGGACACATAGGTTATATTGCCGTCTGCCCTATGGTACTGCGAACAATTCTGTATCTGCTCTGAAAGTGTGGTTAGGGAAGGAATCCTTGCTGTAAAAGGTAACTTCAGGTCATCTGGGGGTTCTCTAGTAGCCCATAAGCCCGTTTTCTATGGTTCTAGGAAGGAAGCTTTGTGAAGCAAGATCAATTGTACTCCAAAGAAGATTCAGCTTGAACTTAAGCTACATCTACTCTCATCCCAGCTTAGTCCTGTACTCACCTGGGTTGCCCTCGCACCCCATCTGGGTTACCTGCAGGACAGCTGCCCAAGGGGCCACCTCTAGCTGTGTGCTTTCAGAGAATGCTGCTTTTCTCCAGGGGTTTTCAAAGCCTTCCATGTACATACATCTGAACTGAAGCTAGCAGTCTTCTTGTGTAAGAGTTTTGAATAATAGAATCAAAAATATTTTCTGAATATATATAGTTTTTCTTTTAAGTCTGTGAGACATTGTCATAAGACGGTCTGAGTTTTAGCAATGATTTAAAAATAAGAAAGTCAACTGGACAAGTTATTTCAGAATATGTCTACTGCGAATTTCAGTAGTAGAGCTATCAAAAGAATAAGCCCTTCATTGTTAGAAAATAAGTTGATTATTCTAAAATCATTCCTTTATTCCTATCTATAGGGTCTAGCGTAAAACAACAGAAGGTTCTTTTTTTTTTTTTTTTTTGAGAGGTTTTTGCTATAGGGTGCGTGCGCTCACCAGACAGACAGAGAGAGACAGAGAGACAGAGAGCGAGAAATTACTCCCCAGGGGGGATGGCCACGCCGCAATCCCTTCTCCTCCATTCTCCTCTCAGGACCTTGGGCACGCACGCACACACGCCTGGCGTGACACGAACCACGGTTGACTACAGGGGAGTACAGTGACATAGCCATTACGCTAACTGCTGGTCCTAAAAGATGGGACATTAAAATTACTTTCTTTTTTTAAATAATTTTTCTTTAAAATTACTTTCTTTTTTTAAATAATTTTTTATTTAATTTTTTTTTCAAAATTTGCTATAGGGCACATGCACTCACCAAAGAGAGAAACAGAGAAAGAGAAAGCAAGCCACTAGGTCTGGAACTAGAACTGCAGTTAGCCATGTGGGAACCTGGTAACTTAACCACTATGCCACTTGCTAGCCCAAAATTATTGTTTTTGTTTGTTTTTTTACTGATGTAATTATGTTTCTTTGTTGGATTAACTCCTTTTACCCTCTCCATGTTCTCTGAATCTCATCCAGTATCATTAAATATGACAATATTTTCATGCTAGTAGTTAGTGAAGCAGCCACAAGAAAAGTAATTTTGCAATTTCTTTTGGCCCCCAGTTTTGGCCATCCATCTACAAATACATGACACTGTGTGAACTAACACCCCTCAGTAAATAGCCCTGTGACAGGAGCTGGTTTGTCACCTCTTTCAGTACCATGATAGACATTTGACTTCACCAGATAGTAATTTACACTGAATTTAAATTAAAATTTCAATGTGAGCCTCTTAAAAATTGTCTCTGGGTCACCTTCATAGGGTCACTTATTTATTTTTTTATCTGCTAGGGAAGCTGGGAATGGAGGGTTTTTTTGTTTTGTTTTTTGTTTTTTATGGCATTGAAACTGTATGGCAATGTATTCTCATTCATTCGAGTTAACTGATGAACCAGGGTCAAATGGTCAGGCCTAATTTTCCTGCAGTCCACTGCTTGTTGCAAAATGGGACAGTGTGCAACCAGCAGTTGGCATAATGTCTATGTCACTGGACTCCCGAGGTTCGAGTCCTGGACCTGGCGGCTTAAATTCACTCCAGGCGCATGTGCATGCGTGTTCAAGATCCTGAGAGGAGAATGGAGGAGAAAGAATTGTGGCATGGCCATTCCTCCTGGGGGGTGATTTCTTGATTTCTGTCTCTCTGTCTCTCTCTTTCTGGTGAACGCACATGCCCTATAGCAAAAACCTCTCAAAAAAAAAGGGGGGGGGACAGTGCTACGCATTTGAGGGGTAAATGACTCTGTGTCTAGGAAGTACTGAAGCTCAATACTCAGCCCTTGATAAGTGCTCAGTAAATGGTACCTGTCATTATTTTGCACTCTGTGAAAATAAGCATGTAGCAATACATTTTCAAAGCCCAAGTCTATAGGCACAAAGTATTCTGTTGTTACCTCGCACTGAAACTGCTGTTAAGCCCATATCTCTATTTCCATTCCTTCCACTGTGCAAACAAGAGGTATTAGAAAATAAGTTGGGGAGACCAGCATATGGCATAGCTGAACTCCATATGGCTGACTGCATTTTGAGTCCCAAACCCTGTGTGTTGAAAATCACACTGGGTGTGTGTGTGTGTGCATGCCCGAGGTCCTGGGAGGAGAATGGAAGAGAAGGTACTGCAGCCTGGCCGTCCCTTGCCTCGCCCTGCCCCAGGGGTGATTTCTCACTTTTCCTCTTAACTGCGGGTGTCTTCAGCAAGTGTAAACACCCTAAGGCAAAAACCTAGA